TAGCCCTAATTATAACTTAACAAATGCTTAATTGTTTCTATTTATTACAACTACAATTACAATTGGAAAATTAAAACTAGTTAGAATTATACACGAATATTAATTGTCAACTATAAGAGTAAATCAAAACCTCCGATACTCTATTCCATGCGTTTCTCATGAAGAAATGTTATTTAGTCCCAATAGTGTAATTGGCGTTTACGCACTAGTCTATAGAAAAGTGGCTAAATATAATTAATTATTCCTATATAATTAGCTTTACTATCCAGCTCTGAAGTTATGAGGGTTGTTTATTCCATATTTATTTATTTATTCAAAAATCTATTCTTTTAAAAATAAAATACACACACACAGAGGTCCCGTTTGTTTTCCATTTTGGTGAGAATGAGAATGAAAAATATAGTCGTTATGAGCCTCACATAAGAGATAGAAATTCAAATTTGGTGATTTGATGTAATGGTTAACGATCACATTTTTTATTTTAATAAGGAAAGAATGAGAATCAAACAGGAGTGTGTATATATGTATATATATATATGAAGAAGGGCCAGCCCTGTATTTTATAGTAGCAGGGTCATCCTGTACAGTGGGCCTAGAAAGGAATGGACGACCCGGCCCATTACCAGCCCAATCCGAATATGCATGTCATGAGAAGCACGTCAGTCACCACCTAATCCAGTATTGTTTGGAACTTCTTCCAACTACAAATAGATTCGAATATATCATTTAACAAAGGAGAGAGTCACAAGCAATTGGTATATAATATCTCCATCCGTCGTCCATTATTGCAAATGGACCTACCCCCACCCCACTCTTTCAACCAACCAAATCCACTAGTGCAAAAATTGCAAGTTTTGGCGTGTTTCTTGTGGGAAAAATATATAATCAAATATTTTAATTTACTTCTGTGGAAAAAGCTTAGTTGTGTTATATTTATTTTGTTCATTCAGTCATTAAGTGAAAAGGAAAAGAGAGAAGGCAACTTGTTGGTTTTTGTCATCTCTCTCCTTATCCTCTCTCTCCCCTTATCCTCTATCTCTAATTCTGTAGCTTCTTCTTCTGCAACTGCTCAGAAGAAAACCCAGAAAATATATCATGGATGACAGTAGAAATCTGGACTCCAAGATTTCAGAAGATTTAAAACCAGAAACTCAAGCATCCAAGAAAAGGTAATTTTTTCGAGTTTTGGATTTCTTGAGAAGTTGTACATTTATGGTTGTTTTCGTTAGTAAGGTAGTTGTTTGTGTTTTGGATGACAAAGATTTTTCTTGAAATCAAGAGGAAAGTTTTAAAGATTTTATCTTTTTCAGGAAGAATATGGATCAGAGGGTTGTAGTAGAGGTGAAAATACAAGCAGGTGATAAAAAACAGAAAAGTGAAGGGCCTCCTCCTGATAGTTGGTCTTGGAGAAAATATGGACAAAAACCCATCAAAGGATCTCCATACCCAAGGTTCATTTTCTTCATCCTATTAAAAACTCAGTATGTTAAGGTCATGATATGATCAAGTGCTCTCTGAGTTGTCTCGAACCTTACAATCACGATCTGATCAAGTGCTTTCTGCGCCATCTCAAACGTACACCGTGTTTTCTGATTGTCTCAGACCTTACTATCAGTAGGCTAAAAATTTTTGTCCTTGGCCTTAATTTCCCCTTACCCCACCCCACCAACCAAAATAAGCACTTATTTTTCTTCTTGCTACTTGATTACAGGGGTTACTACAGATGCAGCACATCAAAGGGTTGTTCGGCCAAAAAACAAGTGGAAAGATGCAGAACAGATGCATCCATTCTCATCATTACTTACACATCCACTCATAACCATCCAGGCCCCGCCCATCATTCCTTCACCAATCAAAATCAAGAGCTCAATGAACCTTCACTCCCAGAACTCACAGAGGATCATCCTGCAATCCCAGATCAAGAAGAAGAACCAGATACAAAGGATCAAGAAACCCCATTACCCAATAATGACCACTTCCACTATTCCCAGTCTCCATTCAATTCTGCCCAAGAAATCATTATGGATCAAGACATGAACCCTTTCACAGTAAATCTGCAAAACCCATATGATTATGATTCACAAAGGGTAATTATAAATGAAGAGCCCTTTCTATACTCTCATCCAATGAACTTCTCAGCATCTAAATCAGAAGAAAATGACTTCTTCGATGAGCTTGAAGAACTACCCATGTCTTCATTTTTGACAGATTTCATGAGAAGTAGTACTTTGCTTGAGGAAAGAATTCTTGTAGAACTTTCTTGATTCCAGCATTCACTTTCAATGCTTGCAAATTTAATTAGAGCAATGTAATTTAGCAGACTAGTTGTTCATGTACATGTAGCTACTTCTTTCATTTAGCAAAATCGATAGTATAACTTTGATGCGTTCATAGCATGTTAACGATTAAGCCTTAATCTCGAGAGCAATATCAATGCACATATTTATGGTGGTTTACCGATACCTACTTTCATTTGACGCTTGCTGATGCAGTTTCAGAAGAAGAGTACATGTTTTCGAATTAAGCTACTCGTACATAAATTTTTTTTTACACATTGTAAGAAAATTCTATACAAGTAGCTTAACTCCATGTTTTCACACCCCTCATACCAAAACCGCCCCCCTAAAAAATCATTTATGTTCTAAGAATGTTTTAGCCACCTAATACATGTATAACCTGCTACATTTACACCTTTGTTCACATAAATTTTGACAGATGATAAGATAACATGCAATTTCATCGTTGAATTGAATAAAATTTTCAAATCAATGGTCAAACTACATGTCATCTTATTATCTGTCAACTAAGATGTAAATAATAGGTGTACAAGTAGTTTAATTTATACATGTATTGATTTTCTCAATAAATTTGCCCCGTACCTACCCAAGCATGAGTACCTACCATTCCCTGCAGCTCCTTATCTAAGAGATTAGTGTACATCATAATTGATCTCTAAACACGAGACACCAAAAAAGAAGTAAAAGAGTAGTGGCTTGTAACTGTCATGAGTTGATAAACATGAGCTAGTGCCTAGAGATATTTTTCTTTTCTTTGTTTTCATCTTTTCTCATGTTCTTGGAGGGTGTCTATTTGATATATAAAATAATATATACAATTGGCAGTTTGTTATAGGATCTGTTCTGGTGTCGAATCTGCCTCATCAAAAGCAGTAAAATAGTCCTTTCGTTGGCACCTCTAACAAATTGTACACTTTCAATACAAAGGGCCAATTTTCCGAGGCAGGAGAATCCCATTTGTCATAAGATTCCACAAGCATTTGGATTTTTTTCCCCTCCCCATACATTTGGCTTCCCAGTATCTTATAGATTGCTTTTAAGGCATGTTGGGTGCGTAGTATTGCTTATCATAGGACAAAATAATTACACGAAAGTTTAAATCATTTTCCTTCTCTAAGTATAATTTAATCTACCTTGCTAATCACATTATTCGAGTGTTTCTTTTAGAATAAAATAAGAGCCCGTTAGAGAAATTATAGAGTGTTGAATAATATTTTTTGGAGAATGTATGATTAAAATCAAAAGAAACTTTATTCGTTTGTGTGTAAAATATTTTTTTGTGTGAATGTTTGGTGAAGAATGTTATCGTAACAAACAATTTAATTTATTAAAGAATGACAAATAGGGGCTAAATGTGTATCTTTCCCACAATGGTTTTACAAGAAGATATAAACTTCAGATAATTATCAGCAATTATCATGAGAAGAAGTAATTTACATTTGCGAGTGCTTTAAAATAGATCTAAAAAGAGGTTTGAGGGACATATCGACAAAGTAAATCTAAAAGAATTGAGTATGCTAGCACTGCTTACCATATTTGGATGTCATGTAACTGAAAGGTTTTTGAAAAACTTAGGGTACAAGTAGATAGCATAGTAAAATGAATTAAAACAAATGTGTACAAGATTATATTTGTTTTGTACCTGCATGTTTTGATTTATTTTGAATCTTTGGTTTTGGAGCTATAGTTCCTATCCTTTACACATATTTTCCTGTGTTAGCTTGGGTGTGCCTGGTGTAGTTATATTTCAATTGTCTCTTGTTTGTCCGGGTATGTTTAGTGTACTTGTACATGAGTTTTGATCTACAATAATTTACTTTTACAGATAAAAAAAAAAAAGTAGAAGAAGAAGAAGTGATTGTTAAGAAGGATTCTATAGTGTCATCGTAACTTCTAATTATTAGCCAATTCCATTTCTATTTTCCGGTCCTTTAAATTGATAATTTTGGATATCTTCCGAGTCACGGACAGTTGAGAGTTGTAGACATGAAGATACATTCTTCAATTTTTACGGGTACATGTCAAAGCACACATTATTGCTGCTGAAGATGGTAAACAAGAGGAATGAGAATTCAATGGACAAGACCACTATTGAACTCGTACTTCACTTAAAATATAATTTTAAAGTGGTGTTTGCAGAAAGAGAAAAAAAAGGGGAAGTGTTACATGTACATAATTGTCTACATAATGATGTCCATAATTATACGTGACACTAGATCCAACCTTTAATTCAAATTTCACACTTGAACATCAACAACCGGATGATTGCCACATCACATTATGGACACCATTATGTACAATAATTATGTACAAGTAGAATTTTCCGAAAGGAAAAATGGAAGAGAGAAACAAAAGAAAATAAATATTACGTAATTACTCCTCAGTTTTCACCTTCTTGTCCTTTTTTCGTTTTGGTATTCTTGATTTTGGAGAGGAATTCGTTGGCACAATGAAATATATTATTTGCATGGATTAGAAATCAATAACAGTCACGTACATGACTATGTCCTGTTCAATTCGTGACACATTAATAATAAAGGCTTTGTCTACTTGTAAGAATCGTATATGTGGCTACTGCTGTTTTACCGATTTATCTGTCCTCAATAATTAATTCTCGCTGACCACGCCCAATAGGGATCATCGAATCAATAGCAATAAGCCCGGTTTGAAGAGGCTCATATACGGAACGTCGCGAAATAATACCTGGAGCGGGAGATTCAATTAATCGAGATTCCGAAACTGAAATTTCACCTCTACCATGTACACCAAGTGTACAAGTAGACAAACCCAATGTTCCATATTTTACAGGGAAAATAAATAATTATAATAAACTGTATAAAAGGAAACAATAATGAAAGATTGATAAAGGTGAATTGGCATGTAAGACAAAGGAACGGAAATAGCACTGTTAGAGCTCAAGGTTAAGAACATGTCGGTGGGGATTGTAAACGTTGTGGAACCTACAACAGAAATGTGAAGAGTATAAGTAGTAATTGTATAAAAATTATAGTTAGTCAACTTGAAATATAATTTAAGCTCTTGTTTGACAATTATTATGTAGAAAAACAATTTTCTACATCCTCATTTTTCAACCACATTTACATAATAAAACATTCTACAAATAAATTTTAAATTTTTCCTTACTTTTTAACCATATATTCTCTTAAAAATCACTTTTCAAAAGATTTTGTTTTTGTTTTTCGTTTTTCCCTAAATAATGATTGTCAAATAGGGGTTAAACTTTGTCGGACATGTAAAAAAGTCTAAGGGTCCATTTGATTGTAAAGATGAAATTTGGATGAAAAGAAAACGAATTACAGGGAATTGAATTGTCTAAAAATTGATTTCCTGGGAATTGTCAATTAATGTGTTTGATTGGTATAATTTTCCACGTGAAAATTGTTGAAATAAAAGTTTTTTTGGTGTTCGTTTGGTTTTGTTTTACATGAAAATTGTCAATTAAAGGGATCAAATTTACTGGTATTGAGGATAAAATTTATTTCAATTGCCAAAACAAAAACCAAAGAAAATTATCTATCTTTTAGTGTTCGTTTCACTTTTTTTTACATGAAAATTGTTAATTAAAGGAAAATATTTTTTCACAATTAAAGATATAATTTGTTTCCATAATCCAAAAAAATAAAAAAAAATGTCAACAGTTCAAGGGAAACAAAGAAAATGTAGCAAACCAAGAAAACCAAAAAAGAGAATTCTATGAAAAAATTTTGAATTTATATGTAAAATATTTTATTTTGAAAATGTATGATTAAAATTGAATTTGGGAAGAAAAGAGTTTTGAAATAATAGAAATCAAACCGGGCCTTAACCGTAATTTAAACCATTTACTTCGAGTGCTCTTCAGGTAAGAAACCATTTTGTATCCCCAATTTCTAGGTTTTCAACAGTACAACAAAGAAAATGTCGAAACGAAAGTTCGGATTCGAAGGGTTCGGCATGAATCGCCAAGCTACGTACAACTTCGAGCGATCCTCAGCTCCTCAACGGCTCTACGTTCCTCCATCGTCTCGCTCCTCTGGCGGCAGTCACGACAATTACGAAGACACTGACCTTGACAATATTGATTACGCCGAAGACCGTGAAAACGACGCCGTTAATGGTGCCGGCGGTGGTGATGATGAGATTGATCCTCTAGATGCGTTTATGGAGGGAATACATGAGGAGATGAGGGTGGCGCCGGAACCGAAGCCAATTGAGAAGTTGGATAAGTATAAAGATGATGAAGAGGAGGAGGATCCGATGGAGAGTTTTTTGAGAGCGAAGAAAGATGTAGGGTTACAATTGGCTGCGGAGGCTCTTCAAGCTGGGTATAATTCTGATGAGGAGGTGTATGCCGCGGCTAAGGCGGTGGATGCTGGAATGCTTGAGTATGATTCTGATGATAATCCTATTGTTTTGGATAAGAAGAAAATTGAGCCTATTCCCGCTCTCGATCATAGCTCAATTGATTACGAGCCCTTTAACAAGGATTTCTACGAGGAAAAGCCCTCCATTTCTGGTAATTAAACTGTAACCTAGTATTTATTATTATTTTTTTTTACTGCTCTAGTTTGTGATTTTTCTTTACTTTCGTTCTCATAGTGTTAACACCACCATTGGTACCTTTGGTTGCTATTCTAGTAACTTTTTCTTATATTCACGAAGACGGCTTTAATGATATGAAGTTATAAATAAAGTGAACATGATAATAAACGCCCTCATAGAATCAAAGGATTGGGTTGTGATTAGTAATTAAGCATACCTTCAGAGACTTTAACCGTGGGAGAACTGTGTGATAAGTTACCAGGAATGTAGAAGATGTTCCATCTATGAAAAGAACTAGAATCTGCTTAAAAATTTGTAAGATTCAGCATTTTCTTGTTGAAGGGGAGAAAAAAATTCCTACAGCAATTTCTAGTTGAAGTAAAGATGGTGACAGTGTTTGCTTTTTGTGTTTATACGGTGTCTTACATACAGATTCCTTTTCCTTATCCTTATCTAGGTATGAGTGAGCAGGATGTTTCTGAGTACAAGAAGAGCTTGGCAATTCGTGTGTCGGGTTTCGATGTTCCAAGACCTGTTAGAACTTTTGAAGAC